CTCACTTTCTCTCTATCTTTTTCTTTTTTTTGCCCCAAACGAAGCACCGTTACACACCAACTGCTCAGAGGCAGAGAAACCAGAGGCCAGAACTCACCAGGGTCTTCCACTCATCAACTCCCAAATCTCTCTCTCTCTTTCTCTCTCTCTCTCTCTGACACACACACACACTACAGGAGCCTGTTGGACAGCCACAATGAACCCCAGACCTTCACTGGAGTGGACTGTTGTCACCGTCTCCATCTATGGGAAACTTGCCGTGTCCCTCGGTGCTGAGCCTGGACCTGAGCTTTTGGTTGGATTTTTCTGTTGATCTCGAGGCCAGCGCTCGGGGGTTAGGATGGTGATTGAGCTGCAGAGCACCGAGGACGGCGGTGGTGTTGGCCGCAGCCACATGGACATACTGAGCACCGACGAGCTGGAGTGTAAGATCTGCTACTGCGCGTACAACCTGGGGAGTCGCAGGCCAAAGGTGCTCGAGTGCCGCCACCGCCTGTGCGCCAAGTGCCTTGCCAAGATCCTGGACCTGGGTGAGTCGCCTCCTGATGTCGTGGTGTGCCCGTTCTGCCGCTACGTTACCAGACTGCCGGGGCAGGCCGTGAGCAGCCTGCCAGACGACTGCAACCTGGCGGCGGCACTGGCCCTCCAAAGCAGGAACCAGAGGAACCTCCACTTCCACCAGGAGTCGACCACGGAGCTGCTCCTCAGCCCCGGGCTCCTGAGCTCCCTCATGGGTAGCAACCCACCTGTGACAACCCCTTCCTCCTCCTCGTCCGCTTCCTCCTCCTCCACCACCTACTCCTCCATCCGGGGCTCCCCTAACTTTGTGGTCATTACCATCATGGAGCCGCCACCACTGTTGCCTGCATCCACCCAAGACCTCCACCTCCACCACCAGCCACGTGGATCCCACATGTCGAACCGGGGCTACCGCTCATCCAGCCTGGACTCCATGGCGTCCATCACGCAGAGGTGGACGGTGTGGAACTGCGCGGCCCTCCTGTGCCAGACCTCGGCCCGGGCGCTGGTGTGGCTGCTGGGGCTGCTGTACTTCAGCTCGCTGCCCATGGGGGTTTACCTGCTCATCATGCAGAGGACAACACTCGGGGTGCTGCTGGTGAGCCTGGTTCCCACCAGCCTCGTCATGATCATGGTCTACGGGTTCTGCCAGTGTATCTGCCACGAGCTGTGGGACTGCATGCCACCATAACGGGAGCAGATGAACGGGCGATGCTTTGCATTGAATACACTCGACAAAGGGTCTCCAGAATTCACTAATGGGGATGTTACTGTGTAACTGACCAGGTCAACACGCCAATAGCAGGAAGAAATGCTCCTTTTCTTTGTTGATGAAGAGAGCAAGAACATTATGTACAAACGAAGCTCACAGTTTGGGGCTTTTTATCGTTATACATGTTAATTTGTGCTTTGTTTAGCTTGGTAGCCGACTAATTACCCAATAGAGCTCAACAATGTCAGATTTAGCTAAAGCATTAATGCCAATTCTGGTGGTAACTGCTAGACATTATGCGTATTTAGCCTCCTGTTGTAATGAGAAACCTGAAGGTATTTAAGGTATTTTTGGATCTAACTTGTTTCAGATTGTGTCACAGCCATAAATGCATCAAAGTGAACTTTAACATCATGATGTTCTGGTGGTGCTTGAGCTCAGCATTCAACTGTGAAAAACACTTTATATGCACCAAAAAGGGAGATCATTATGTTTTCTCACCACATATGGAGGATTCATTAATATGAACAACAGGATATACAACAATTTGCTCCTGAAATAAAATGGATACCAGTTAAAGTCTGTTGAAGGTGTTTTTTGTTAAAGCCGCAGAGCCCCTCTATACAACTGTTGACTAGCAGAGTGGAAGTAAAAACAATCTTTTCTCAAATATTTTGAGATTTATGTCATGCAGGTAATTTTTAAATTTAGTGAAATTGAGATTTCTTTTATTATTATTATTATTATGAAGGCGAGTCTTGACACCACTACAGCTCATTTGTTTCCAGAAAACATGCCGGGTGTTGCCATGGCACATTGCCCGAGAGACCCACGTTTAACCGTTGGCCGTGTGCAAAGATGGGAAGCCGGTGAGGGATCACACATCACACATTTATTGCAGGATGAGAAAAAATGGCGAAAAGATGCTAAAAAATATTCCAATTTATATTCATAGTAAAATGCTGTATGTTTTTTAATGGAAAAGTGATTGAAAGCTGTCTTTGCTCCGTTATGCTTTTTGTAATACTTCTCCGTAGGACAAAGTTTGCACACATTTGAAATGAAGAATTCTTTTGATAAAAACTATAATGAAAAGTACCAAAACCATTTCCTGCAATAGTCTATATTTCTAAATAAAATCAACAAACTATAAATAATTCGATTTTATGATAAACAAGATCAAACCAATTCCAGTGATATAAGATTAAATAAAATAAATACAACTAAATAAAAAGACAATTCAAGTAAAATCAGGAACTACTCTCCAAACAAAAGTATGTTTTATGAGAATATTTCAAAGAGGACACTGGCACCTCTGTCTAAGTATACAGTAAAGGTATACAGGGTAAGATATTTAGCGAGGCCCTGAAGAACCTTAAAATGTATAAGATCTTACAATCCAGTGTTAGGAGGCTTAAACAGGTGTGACATAAAACCTCTAGTCCGGCAGCTGAAATAATTCTAATTCTCGAAATCTCAATCGCCTTAAGCTCTTTTTTTCTGGGAGCCGAAGAAGGAGGGCAGCATGACTTCAGCCTCCTCTGCATTGCATTATGAGTCATGGCTCCCTCTGTGCGGTGAGGTCGAGCCTGAACCACCAGAGGCGGCTGTGACAGCTCTCCCCTCCCCTCTAGTGACGCAAAGAAAGACTGATCGGCATCCGCATGCTTCACCAGATTCTCTCTGTCACCGACAAAAAGAAACTCCAATTTAGAAAAAACAAATATATATTCAGTGATGTTCCAGAAATCCAGAAGTGGCAGAAAAGTCAGACAGCATCCCCTCTGCTTCACATCAAGAACAACACAAAAGACAGGCTGCAGGAGTGTTTGCACAAACAATTTGAAAGTCAAATGAAACTGTCACCCTGTGATTACAACATAATATCTGAACTCCAGAACATCAGGGCCAGAAAAACCCTGCAGGGGGGCCCGGGGGCAAATATATACTGAGGGCCCCTCACGACCCCCCTGTTCTCTGTGTTTCTGTAGTTGCTGGTAATAAGTAATCGCCTTGTGCTGACTCAATCACAAATTCATGTAGAAATATGCACAATATAAGTACAAGATAATCAGGAATAATAGAGGCTTTAAAACTTGATGCTTTGATTCAAGACTCCATAATATTACAGATGCAAACTAATATGTTTACATCCAGTGTTTCTCACCAAAGCACATTGTGTGTATCTTTGAGGTCTAACAAACGTGTTGAATGCATTTCATTCCCTATAAAATATTTGCATATTATTATTTTTTTTTTAAATTGTGTAATGTTTACTGTCTAACAGTCTTCCTCTTCATGCCTTTGTTAGCACATTGCTACGTTTCTTTGCACGTTACCAACAACAAAATGTTGATTGGTGGAAAAGCATTTTTGCATTGCGTATGTGCATTAAAACAATCAGGACCCCGCTTGTGAAAACACGGCTCCATAGCGCTCCTAGAGGTCAGAGTCGTCACAGGATGCCTTTAAAGACCCTATAACTCAGCTCATATTCTGCTTTTAGTTGTGCACACTGTATTACCAACGTGGTAATAAATTGAAATTTGTGAAATTTGAACACCAGACAGGTTTGGCTAGCTGGATGATGTCATGCTAATAACTTATTTAGCTTTTTAAAACAATGGGGACAGATCCAGCATGGACAGTTAGGGAGTGAGGGACATGAAGCACCTGCTGAGAAATGATATATAGTTATAAATACATCATTATATATCTGTGTGTGTGTGGTTTATATTATAGTGAATATTGTTATATGATATATTATTATATGATATACATTATTATATTATACAGAATATTATTATATTATATACATTATATTATAGTCAATATTATTATATGATATATATATTATTATATTATACTGAATTGCCTGTGAGGGTGACTAAAATAAGATGTCCTGACGTGTTTATCAAAGTGTTATTTTCTGCTTTTTTTCATGTTGGAATAAAGGTTAAATATTTAACTGCAAAGTAGTAATACGTGTTTGATACCTTAATGTTTTTGCATTAAATCATTCTGGGATGTTTGTTGAAATTGATTGGATGTGGCACAGCCCTACCTAGAACATGTTCCACCAGCTCCACTGCAGTGAGGATCTTTTCCCAGAACACGTTGTCCTCGTCCTGCTGATGATAAACAGCCCTTACTGTTCTCCAGCGGACTCTGAATCTGAGCAAGTGCTTCCCTACAGGGACCGTAACATCATTTCAGATTCCTCTTTAGTGATGCAATGAACATTCCCACATGTTGCTGTGATGGACTTTTCACAGGCGGAGCAAGCCAAGCTTTCCTTCAGCCTGTAGTCTCCCTCATAACTCTGATCAGAGCTGTTGGAAACAAAAACATCATCACATGAACCCGATGGCGCCAAAGGATGTTTTGTATTTGAGTTCACTCACTGCCAACAAATTTAAATGACGCTGTATTGTTATAGTGTGGTGTCGCCATCTAGGCAGCCACTGATGAGGTTCAACAAGGCAAGACCGTAGACCCTCAGGGGTCCAGAAGACACTAAAATCAGAGCGTGTTAATTAGTTTTAATTAGTCCTCTACAACACAAAGTTGATCGAAAAGACAAGGACCCTTTGTTAAAATCTATTTATCTTGATATTGGGCTGAAATACAACATATTCCTAAATTCATATGCGTTTAATCAATTAACAATAAAGTAACTGATGACACACAGCAAACTTGGGAGCTCCAGCACAGGAGGGCTGACTGCTGATTGCAGCTGTGTTCTATAAATAATAATACATATACAATGCACACAGGGTATATATATATTTATTTATTTTAACTCAAACATGCTCTTATGCAGGCTATACTTTCCATAGTCAGCTATCCAATGATGAGGCTCGTAGTGTGTGAAAAGGTGAAAAGTAGTTTATTCCATGAAAACAAAGATAAACAAAAATGTATCCATACCCAATAATGGACTATCAAAAACTAACCTTCTGCAGACAATAACTAAAAAGTCCACATCCTGCTCCATCGAACCTTAACTTGCACTAAACCCACTTAAAGTAGTCAACCCAAAATTATCCAATAGCAGGACAGACTAGAGCACATTTTGCAACATGACCAATTACCTTAATTATATTGTATGTTAAACATTTTAAACGGGCATAACACACATTACTTTTGTAATGAAAATAAAAAATTAAATAAAAAACTGTTAACAATATAACATGGCTCTTACAATGATGAGTGTCTACTTTGACTTAGTTTCTGTCCTGTATTAATACAACTACCGTCTAATCTGCTGTACATTCACTGTTTTTGTGTATTTATGACACATTCCCATAGGAAGTGACTGGAGGCTGCTCTCAGCCAATCAGATTAGAGGATAACGCTCCGACAACAAACAAAAGATCGAGGCTAGCTGAGCTCATTATACCGTCTCTACGCTAACGTCAGTGCTTTACTTTACGCCCAACGACGATTCGCTCCTCTTGTCTTTTATAACGACTTTCCTCGGATCCATTCCCCCTCTTTAGTGTCTCTTTGCGTCAGAGCTAATGTCAACTTGAGCCCGATCGCTTTTTAGCTTTTGCTGGCCAAGCTAAAGAACGCGTTAGCCAGGTTAGCTCCTCGGCTAACCAGGTTAGCTTCTTGGCTAGCCAGGTTAGCTCCTCGGCTAACACAGCTCTGGCTGCCACCAGTTAGCTTAGCCTAGCTTTGCTAACCCTCCCTTCTTTTATTTTTTTTTTAAAAACTTGACACTGACGGACACAAGTGTCTCTGGCTTGTTGCTGACCAAAAATAGAAAGAAACTTTCGTGGTCGCAATGTCCGGACAGTCGTCGGGCTGTGGGTTTCTGATGTCGGTCGTTGTCCACGGAGACTCTGCTCTGAACGACCAGGAAAAGGAGCTCAACCAACGGCTCCGACGGCTCTATCCGGCCGTTAACGAGACCGAGACCCCATTGCCACGGTCCTGGAGCCCGAAGGACAAGTTCAGCTACATCGGGCTGTCTCAGAACAACCTCCGTGTGCACTACAAAGGTATGACGACACTGAGACGCACTTTATTATTATTGCTCAAAGGCTAACCGTCAAGCTAAGCTAACGTTAGCTTAGCTTGACGGTTAGCTGGATATCAAAGCTAAAAACAAAGTAGGCTAGTGGCTTCATCAACAACAAGACAGAGGACATCTTGCAACAAGACCAGCTGGCGAGGTGTATCCACAGCCATAAAAAAATTCCTACTAGCTCGTTAGCTTAGCATGAAGCTTTCACTCAAATACAAAACACATTTAATGTATAACCATCCATAAACATCGCAGGCTGGTTTTAGCTCGATGTGAGTCACATAATCATACCGTTGTCTTGTTAGCCAAAATGGACATTAGCTAAACAGCCCTTTAGGTGATTAAATAATAATAATAACTATTTATTTATATTTTACAAAGAGCTTTGACAGACAAAAGCAGCAAAAGAAATAACAATAACAGAAAGCTCAGTGAGACGGCTTATACGATAAAAATAAACTAAGACATACATAAAATTGTGTGTGTGTGTGTGTGTGTGCATGTATATGTATATATATATAATTATTATTATTTTTTTTTAATATAGTAAAATCAACAAATGGAAATAACACAGAAAAGCGACGACATCACATAATAGCCAGTCTGTAAAAAATGTGTTTTAAGAATTGATTTAAAAGAGATTACTGATTCTGCGAGCCTTATCTCCTAAATGACAGGAAACAGTGTCGAGTATCACGAGTAAGTAGCTCAAGTTATTCAGAGGAATCGATGGATAGTCTTCCAGTGACGTGGTGACTGATAACAGGTGTAGGTAGATCTTAGATGTTGAGGGGTATAATATCAAGACTCTAATCAAGTGACGTTCAGGTTGACTAGTTGTTCAGCAAAGCTATCAGGAGGGTTGTTTTGGTGTTGGCCTAAGAAGAAGAAGAAGGTGTAACTGTGCTTCCTGGGTGTGTTCTACTATCAACGCAGACTCCTCCTTGTTACAACCAGAATGTCCTGTCTCCTTGAATTGTCATTTATTTAATTGGGATATTTCAGTCATACGTACTAGAGCTGAATCAATTGATCGTTTGAGTTATTTTTTAAAGCAAAGTTACCAACAATTCACCACCTCCAGCTACTTAATTGCAAATATTTTCTGGTTTTCCTTGTATTTTCTAAATAAATTGAATCATTTTGGGTTAATTGTTTGTCATGTTGTGCTTTGTAAAATTGCAATGACATCAAAATCATCAGCTGACTATCAAATAATAAATTAAAGTAAGTGGAGCCCAAAAGATCATCATTGTGAGGCAGGGAATGGGAATAAGTGTTAATTACAACCTTAATTACGCAACATATGCCGATATAATTGGGGAATCCGAGACTACATGATGACTTTTAAGGATCTGAGTTATGAATAGTTGAGTCATGGATTAATCATTATCCACTTTGGTTATTTATTATTCTAATCATTAAAGTCTTTCATCAAGCACAGATGCCAAACATCTGTCAGTTCCATGTTTTCAAAAGTTATGATTTGCTAATTTCTTGGCTTCTTTGTAAGTTGAATATTTTTAGGTTTTGGACACGATCAATTTAAAGATGTTATGTTGGGCTCTTGGTTTATGATGGGCACGTTTCAAAATGTTCTGACATTTTGTAGATTAAATGTATCGTCTGATAAATGGATTAATTGACACTGAACACACTGATGTAAAGAACCACAGCCTCTGTTAGTGTTATTGTACCTCTTGTGTTTTCCTTGCCTGAATGTTGTATTCATTCATCAAAAACATTTGCACAAATAAGGTCGAACAGTTTTAATTTATCTTCGAGATTTGAGAGTATCCGAGGTATTCCTAAACAATGTCCAGATCGCTAATTCAACTTTCCTCTTGGAACAGACTCCTTCTCTTTTGTAGTTTTAACTCCTTTTATTGTGGTCTGCATAGTACAACACCAAATACACTTGTATCTACAACAATAACAAACATATCTGGTTTCTACTTAAAAACATTTGGATAAAATTATGCAGTTTTGTTTGGGTTTTTCCAGGATTCAGTTTCTTCAACTTCTAAGTAAACCAGCTTGTTTTCCACGGGAAAAAACGACAGATTTTAGCTGACATTTAGTAAGATATTACATCGGTGGTACTCTTTAAATTACTCAGTACTTCCAACCCTGATCATGACATTCAGAGCTGTATTAATAACAGCAGCCTAGCTGTCCACGCATTGTAATAACTTCAAACTGCTGCAGTTCTCATATCTGACCTCTAATATTACTGCAGACAGCTCTGCACTGAAGCAGCTTGAGCTAACGTTAGCTTTACAAGCTAACAGGATGAGACGACAGCAGGTCCACATTCAGAGCATTTAGACTGACCACCGACATAGGCACCGTTACCTTTTGGGTTTAATCTCCAAAAACACAAAACGAGTGGTCAACATAAGGAACCTTTTCTTTAAAGGCTTGACTCACGTCGAGGTTTGTCTTCTGCTTCTTCAACACGTTTTTTTGGTCTGTGTGACAATGATTGAGGGTTTAGTCCTCACGGCCTTTGTGCTAAAAATCTACATTTATTCCTGCGCTGTGCTTTGAGTTAAAGTGAATCAAAATGGACGACGAGAGGCCAAATCTAAAGTGGTGGTCGTCAGCTTAAGTAGCTGTAGAAAAGCGTACGTGTGTGTCGTCATACTCTGTATCTATACATCTTTATGATTGCTATAGAATGATCCCGTCTCCGTGTATAATGACCGTGTCCTTCTTCCTCTTGTCTGTGTTTTACTCTCACCTGAAGGTCACGGAAAAACCCCGAAAGATGCGGCATCTGTACGAGCCACACACCCCATCCCGGCCGCCTGCGGCGTCTACTACTTCGAGGTGAAGATCATCAGCAAAGGCCGAGATGGGTAAGAGAGCAGAGCATTTACATAACACCGCATTTGTTACGTTATCGAGGGGTGGCCAGTGTCTGTGTGTTTCTCCCAGATGTTTATTCCAAAGTAAAACATCTGGACATCTGTTAGATTGATCGTCATAAACATCTGGATGAATCACAATGACTGTTGACCTTCTGACTTCATTAGTGCCACCGCGTTCCTGTAAAACTGATAAACTGAATCCCCGTCAACAGTGGTCAGTGTTAGCATGCAACATGTTAGCATCCCATTCCTAACACGCTAAATCTTCGGCATTATCGGCATGCTTACCTGGTAACGTGGTAATTCTGACATGCTACACAGAATGTTCACATTGTAGCATGCTAATGTTAGCACTCAGCTCACAGCACAGCTATGCTTTAAGCTAATGGACACTTAGCCAAATCTACAGCTGCACCAACAGCCTTGTGAGGTTGTCATGTTATTCAACACACTAGAAAACAGAATGGGATGAAATAGAGCGACAACGTTTCTTGTTTTTTGTTCCTGGTGTGTGTGATAAACTTGAGCCTGATGGGGCCACCAGTGAGGTTATTGACTTGTAATATTGTAACTAATAAGCTGCTCGTATGCAGGATGATTTTTACAAGGTGAAGAGTTCCTCAAAGCTTCATCTGGAGACTAAGAAAGCCCAAAGGAGTCTAATCTGGGTTTACATGCAGCGTCATGGCTGCTTGTTATTTAAGACATAAACTTGCATCTTTTACCAAATCGACATACTGTCATAACCGTGATTCTTTTAATGTTTTTATGGTAGATCACTAATCATCTAAGGAGAAGACGATCTCCCACTGGAGATTAGAATTCTGTTCTCTTTCCATATCTGAGATTATAGGATGTTTCAGCATGCTGCCGTATTTTGACCACGTCAGAAATCTAATCTAATTGCAAGCAGCTTCTTACACTCCTACATGTGTGTGAAGGCTGATTTAAGTAATGCATTGCTAACTCTTTAAGATGTGGGAGGTCATTCGATACAGGCCCCGTACAAAAAATATACGTGTTTTATGAATTCATATCAGTAGACTGCACAACACAGAAGAATCTGATGAAGTGAAAGCAGGATTTAAACTCTTCACAGGGCTCCAGCTCACTTACAGTCTTACAGTGTGACAGCCACAAGTCACATGACATCATTAGTTAGATGTCTGAACACTTCGATGATCATAAATAATAAATTCCCACATTTAATTGTATTCTGTGGTGGTGGTGTTTGTGTAAGAGGTCGAACGCAGGAAGAATGATTCTAAAGTGTAATCAAATATTTAAACAGCTGCAACATTTAGTTCCTTTCGATGTGAACTGAGTATTCTAACACCGCAGGCTTTTAATGTGGCTGCAGACGATTCTGGAAGATGTTATTGGGTCGGATACTTGTCAACAAGGCGTTTTTTTGCATGTCTAATTAAACTCTCATCCCTCTGGTCCACAGGTACATGGGCATCGGCCTCTCGGCTCAGGGCGTGAACATGAACAGACTCCCTGGTAAGATGACACTCTGTGCGTTTGTTTTCTCTACACTGGTTTACTGCCTCCGCCTTATGGGCGTCGTGAGCAGGGTCTGTCTGTCTGTCTGTCTGTCTGTCGGAACCGTTTGTGTGAGCGTCACTTTGTCTGATCTGTCTGGTAGAGATGTGCTCCTCGGCTGCACTGTGTAGGTGTGACTGTGAGGGAGAGACTGTTCATTTAAATCTGTTATCTGAGAGCACGTGTATGTATTTTTTATTGTGGGAGACGCTGATACAGGAAACGAGTTCTACACGCGTGTGATTTGTAGGAGTAAAGCAGCATCATCACAGTATGTATCGGAGGCAGAGTGTGGAAGCTGGAGACTGCAGCCCTGCTCAATATCAGTGGAATATGTGGGTGTGTTCTGAGGGCGGGCCTTGATATTCATATTTAAACGGAAATACTTGAGTGACATCTGGATTAGTGGTTGACCTACATGGGTTGACCAACAGCAGATGCGGATATTAAGAGAGCAAAACCGCAATTTCTTTAAATATATATACAAAGTTCCTGAACATTTCTTCAACAGTTATTGTCTGAGTTGTCCCTCGTGAGCGCAGGCATCGGTGATTATCTCAAAATAGCTGCTAATCTGGATAGAATGATGACCTGTTATTGATGTTTTGGAGGAAACTATTATTTTATTAGCTGATGAAATGGACTAACAAAAGGCAACACACACCAACAGGGTATCATTTAGATTTGACATTTATTATATTTGATATGTTTGGGCCGATATTCTCCCATCACCGATTATATCGGTGTAAGTTTTTCATAACAAGAAATTAAAGCAGTTTGTAAAGCTGTGTCCCCGTTACATTAGACTTCTGTAAGTTTATAATTACACTCGGTCCCGCTCGGTCACTATAAAAGTCTGACTTTCTGGGAAAATATGTTTAGTTAGTTGAGAGGATTCACTCTCATGTCTTGTCAGTTACATTTGAAGCTGCAGCTAGCTAACTTAGCTTAGCACAAAGACTGGAAACGGGTGGAAACAGCTAGCCTGGCTCTGTGATGAGGTAATCCACCGACCTGCAGCTCTAAAGCTCACCAATTAACAGGTTCTATCTCTTTGGTGAGCTGAAGTGTAAAAATGATCTGTGCTGCACCATTTCTTGGTTGCCTTGCAATATTAATGTACAGTCAATATTAGTACTCAAACTAGTATCAGTCAGACTTAAGACAGAGTATCAATAGTTTTGTTAAATAAACATGGTGTAAGTCACTTTTAAGCAAAACAAGATTACAAATGCAGTCCTCCAGCACACTAAGAAAGATGGCGTGCATGCTAGTTCATTTAGCATTGACGTGTCACTGTTAAGACGGCGTTGGTAGATGTTAGCTCTGCTCTCCTCAGAGGTTATCAGGCCCAACAGGAGCTCCTCCGCCAGTCCAAGAACTGGACCCGCCCATGAGCTCCGGCCCCTCCGCACAAGGATAACAGAACTGCAGAGTTCCCAGCTGATGGATAGATGCTAATGGAAACTGGCTAATTGTGAGGAGCTGGTGCTAAACTGCTCCAGTGAGGGTTACCTCTGCAGCACAGCAGTGACTCACAGGATTCTGTCTCTGTTTCCAATAAATCTGTGTCAAAGACAAATGCTGGATTTGAAGACTATTTGTATTTTATGTTCACAGCAATTCACATTTTCTCCGGTTATGTTTAGAGTAGATAAATATATAGGTGCTGGTCATATAATTAGAATATCATCAAAAAGTTGATTTATTTCACTAATTCCATTCAAAAAGTGAAACTTGTCTCTTATATTCATTCATTACACACAGACTGATATATTTCAAATGTTTATTTCTTTTAATTTTGATGATTATAACTGACAACTAAGGAAAATCCCAAATTCAGTATCTCAGAAAATTAGAATATTACTTACGACCAATACAAAGAAAGGATTTTTAGAAATCTCGGCCAACTGAAAAGTATGAACATGAAAAGTATGAGCATGTACAGCACTCAATACTTAGTTGGGGCTCCTTTTGCCTGAATTACTGCAGCAATGCGGCGTGGCATGGAGTCGATCAGTCTGTGGCACTGCTCAGGTGTTATGAGAGCCCAGGTTGCTCTGATAGTGGCCTTCAGCTCTTCTGCATTGTTGGGTCTGGCATTTCGCATCATCCTCTTCACAATACCCCATAGATGTTCTATGGGGTTAAGGTCAGGCGAGTTTGCTGGCCAATTAAGAACAGGGACACCATGGTCCTTAAACCAGGTACTGGTTGCTTTGGCACTGTGTGCAGGTGCCAAGTCCTGTTGGAAAATGAAATCTGCATCTCCATAAAGTTGGTCAGCAGCAGGAAGCATGAAGTGCTCTAAAACTTCCTGGTATACGGCTGCGTTGACCTTGGACCTCAGAAAACACAGTGGACCAACACCAGCAGATGACATGGCACCCCAAACCATCACTGACTGTGGAAACTTTACACTGGACCTCAAGCAACGTGGATTGTGTGTCTCTCCTCTCTTCCTCCAGACTCTGGGACCCTGATTTCCAAAGGAAATGCAAAATTTACTTTCATCAGAGAACATAACTTTGGACCACTCAGCAGCAGTCCAGTCCTTTTTGTCTTCAGCCCAGGCGAGACGCTTCTGACGCTGTCTGTTGTTCAAGAGTGGCTTGTCACAAGGAATGCGACAGCTGAAACCCATGTCTTGCATACATCTGTGCGTAGTGGTTCTTGAAGCACTGACTCCAGCTGCAGTCCACTCTTTCTGAATCTCCCCCACATTTTTGAATGGGTTTTGTTTCACAATCCTCTCCAGGGTGCAGTTATCCCTATTGCTTGTACACTTTTTTCTGCCACATCTTTTCCTTCCCTTCGCCTCTCTATTAATGTGCTTGGACACAGAGCTCTGTGAACAGCCAGCCTCTTTTGCAATGACCTTTTGTGTCTTGCCCTCCTTGTGCAAGGTGTCAATGGTCGTCTTTTGGACAACTGTCAAGTCAGCAGTCTTCCCCATGATTGTGTAGCCTACAGAACTAGACTGAGAGACCATTTAAAGGCCTTTGCAGGTGTTTTGAGTTAATTAGCTGATTAGAGTGTGGCACCAGGTGTCTTCAATATTGAACCTTTTCACAATATTCAAATTTTCTGAGATACTGAATTTGGGATTTTCCTTATTGTCAGTTATAATCAAAATTAAAAGAAATAAACATTTGAAATATATCAGTCTGTGTGTAATGAATGAATATAATTGACACGTTTCACTTTTTGAATGGAATTAGTGAAATAAATCAACTTTTTGATGATATTCTAATTATATGACCAGCACCTGTAGATGGTCTGCAGTCTGCAGGTGTTTGACTCGACAGCCAAAGAAGAAAACAACAAACTATTCTGAGATGATCTCCAGCTTTCCGGAAAAACCTGAATGAGCCTCGTCTTTCTTCAGACACTGAACACAACAAGCAAACTCTAGTGACAGAAAAAAGACTGACTTTCTAGGTTCAACTACCTCGGGGTGACCACGAGCAGTCAGTCACGTGTCATACAGCGTGAAGTGTCGTTGAGCAAGGCATCGAACCCCCCGGCAGGTGTCTGCTTCTTGTTGTAGATCTCTGTACGCCTGTATTTCTAGAAGCTTTGGAACAATGACAAAGCATTTCTGTTTTGGACTCGCTATGTTTCCACGTCTTTAAACCCCCCCCCCCCCCCCCCATTTTGAGTTTGATTGCTCGAGTTGCAGTGACATCATTTAATCCAGCCATTACGTTTAAATATTTGTGGTTGACATTGTTTCTTGAGACAGTGCAGGTTCCTAGAGTTATTATGGTTGTTCACGCATTCACGCTGAATTTTAATTATTTCTCAGATCGCTTGCAGCACTAAAGTCCTCCTCAAGGGTCCAGCTTCCTCTTTTTTCATCTCTTGAGTCTTCATTATGTTTCACAAATGCCTAGAAAAACACTAGACTTTGACTTCAATGTGTTTTATTATTATTGTGTGTTTTCAAATGAAGCCTCCGTTGTGATGTTCACACCTTTCCACTGCGCTCTGATTCTGACACCTCTCGTCCTTCAGGTTGGGACAAGCACTCGTACGGGTATCACGGAGACGACGGGCACTCCTTCTGCTCGTCCGGCACCGGGCAGCCCTACGGACCCACGTTTACGACAGGTGACGTGATCGGCTGCTGCGTGAACCTCATCAACAACACCTGCTTCTACACAAAGAACGGCCACAGCCTAGGTGAGGAGCACCGAGACCACGGCCAACACAATGACGATGTTGTATTTCAAGGGCCTGTGTGTTAACCTGTGGGACGGTATTGTCAGTAAACAGTAATGGTGTGTCGGTATTTACTACCAAACGGGAAAACCAGGTACAGAGAAATGAAGTCAGGACAGGAAATCTGAGAATTTGTTTACGTGCAGTGTAGTAACCCTAACCTACTGGTTAACCCACATTTACATGTTCCAATGAGGAAGACCAGGGTGTTTTTCACCTGATTGCTGCTCAAATGTCTGTGAATGTTATAAATAATAGGGATGGGACGATGTCGGATTATTTAGCGCTAAAACACTCTCAATAACTTGATCGTGACGAATGAAAAATGCCGTCTAGCGTGCTATGATGGTGGAGCAGTGACACAATGAGACACAATGCAGATACAGACACCACCACACCCTTGTAGATTATTATTATTGTATAGAAGTCTATGAGAAAATGACTCCACTTCTCTTGATTTATTACCTCAGTAAACATGAGTTTATGGTCTCAATCTCTAGTTTCAAGTCTTCTTCAATACAGCATGATGTTCATTTAGTACATTATGGTCCATTTAGAGTCAAACAGACCATAAAGCAGGGGATGCTTTAGGGCGGGGCTACAGAGTGATTGACAGGTCTCTACCAGAGACGTATACGGCGTCTCTACGTCACTCCTCCTCAGATATGGTCACTTCCTGTTCATCAGTTGTGAAAAAACAACATGGCGACGGCCGTAGTCCAAGATGGCGGGTGACGTCACAACGACAACGTCCACTTCTTATATATAGTCTTTGGTCCCATGCAATAAGAATATTAGTTTCTTAACTAAATGTAAGGTACGGCTGTTTTAAGCATATTTCAATGATTATCTGGTTATTTTGTCCAGGACAATCGTGACAGGAAATGTATATATTGTCCCATGCCTAATAATAAATATCCTACTGTTCACTATATTTAGACTTTAGAACATTGTAATGAGGTCGTAAGGCTTAGAGTCGCCATCTTTTCTTCCTTTTTCTGCGTAAGGAATGCGTTCTCCTGAATCATGCCTCTCTCGTTTACATAACCCTTAAGAAATCAGGTTACTGCAGAAAGATGACGGTAACCAGATCGTGTGTGTGTGTGTGTGTGTGTGTGTGTGTGTGTGTGTGTG